AGATTTGTAGACATAAATGGGTACCCATCCCAGGACTTGTGAGCCTGGTGGCACCAGTGATGTCCTAGAACCAGCTAGCCAGAGCTCCCCTCTCCCCAGTTATACACTTTTCTTCCCAACTCAGTGTCCCATGATTACATATTGGTAGCTTGAAATCAGCCTCAGTGGGAGTGTTTACATCAATGAAATGGACAAGTAAGACCTTTATTTATTTATATGGCTATGCCAGGTCTTAGTTGCAGTATGCAGGATCTGGTTCCCTGACCAGGGATCGAACACATGCCCCCTGCAGCCTGCCAGGCTCCTCTGTTCATGGGATTCTCCAGGCAAGAATACTGGAATGTGCTGCCATGCTCTCCTCCAGGGGATATTCCCAATCCAGGGATCAAACCCTGGTCTCCTGTATTGCAGGCAGATTCTTTCCATCTGAGCCACCAGGGAGACCCTGGTCTAATCTCATAACCCAAAGTCTACAGTGCCAAGTGTGGGGCACAGAAGAGATCCCACCTTCTGTCTCAAATGATGACATTACAAATTAAATGAATGCTTACCTAGCACTCTGCACATATATTATCTCATTTAATCTACTTACAAACTGTTAGGAGGTAATCACTGCTATTTTAACACCCATTTTATTGATGAGGGAAACAAGCTCAGAGGGATTAAGTAACTCACCAGGGTCATACAGCTCAGAAGCAGAGAAGTCAAGTTCAACTCAGGTCCTCTAACACTGGGGCTGTTGATGCATAGTGCAGACTGTGGGATGCTCAGTGGTGAGTGGAGGCTGGAATCAGCATGCCCAGCTGTGCACCTGTTGGACTACATCGGCCCAGGGGGATGTCATTTTCCTACCTGCCTGAAGGTGCTGTATAGGTTTACAGTGGTGGTGTCCCAGTCCAAACCCTTTCCTCCCTTCCCTGCAACTCCCGGGGTCTCTAGTGGGAAAGTAGAGCAAGTGGGAGAGAGAGAAAGCGCAAAGAGAAGTCCCCAGAAAGTCATTATTTGCAGCATAATCAAGCTGGCACATGTGGACATGTGGAAGAGGCTTACGAAGCAGCTGTTCCTGCAGGAGGTTTGGGGCAGGTGTCAGTGGGGTGGAGCAGGGAGTTTGGCTGGAGGCAGAGCCGCAGATTGTCAGTGATGAGAGCTGGAGCTCCTGCCCACCCCTGGCAAGTGTGTGGCATGGAAGGTGCCCAGTGGGTGGGGCAATTAGCCTGTATCCCAGGGCGCCTGGCTCTGCCTCTCGCCCTCCCTCCCACTGCCTTTCTGCAATTAGATTGCTCTGGGTAGTAGCTGCCAAGCCGCTTTGTTGGATCTGATGAGTTTATTAATTTCTTGGGGGCTAATGGGAGTGTTGGGGGGCGGGCGGAGATTCATTTCCTGACTGGAGCTTGGGGGATAATTCATCTCGCCATGTCCCCAGAAGTGGGGGGTGTCAGGGGATGTGGCTCAGGCTGTCAGATCTGGCTCTGGGTAAATCATTTATATCCCTAGGTTTTATGCCAACCTATCTTGTGACTTGGATCAGACAGGGAGTCTGGGGCTGGGGCAGGCGGTTAGTGAGAACTGGGTCCCCTGAGAACAGTGAGGGTGCGGAACTGGTAGGGGTTGAAGCCTTGCTAGTCCTGTCTGTGTGAAGTGCGTGCTTGGGGGACAGGACTCTGAGAAGTTCAGTCCTGTCCCAAATATCCAGATGCTGACATCTGGACTTATTGTTTATTAGGTCTTTCTGTTCAAATCTGGCCCTTCTGATCCTAAGAGATCACCAGGAGCCAGTTCTAGCCATCTTGAAGATAGGGAAGCAGACTCATTTCACTTGCTTTTGTGGATATAAAAACCCAGGAGAGAAAAAGGCTGTGTCCTGGGTTCTTGCTATTTGGCTGAGGCTCCTTTTAGCCTTTCCTCTGGTTGGCCAGGCTGCTTACATAGAGGACACATTAGCATCCCCACCCCAGAGACAGCAGTGGACACGGGAAAGGTCTTGGATTCAGGAGTCAGACAGCTCTGGGTTCAAGATCATGCATCACCTGCTAACTAAGTGACTTTGTTTTTGTTTAGTCGCTAACTTGTGTCTGACTGTTTGCAACCCCATGGACTATAGCCCACCAGGCTCCTCTGTCCATGGGATTTTCCAGGCAAGAATACTGGAGTGCCTTGCCATGGCCTTCTTCAGGGGATCATTTGACCCAGGGATTGAACCCACATCTCCTATATCGGCTAGCAAGTTATTAACCACTGAGCCACCACCTTAGGCAGATCATTAAAGCTCTGTGCTCTAGTTTCCTTGTAAATAAAATGAACACATTGTCACTATTCCACAAGGTTGCTAGGAAAATTCAAACAGCTGATAGAGCCCATGCAGCACATGAGGTGTCTGGTAACTCTTGTTCCCTTTCCCCCTTCACTTGAAAATCTTGTGGCTCATCCCTCATCCTCCCCAACAGAGAGACGGGTTGGGGCCAGGGAGCTCAGGCTGTACCCTGACCTGGCTGATCCCTCCAGGGGACACTCCAGGGAACCAGAGGAGGCTCGCCTGCCTCCTGCTCTTGCCTCACCGACAGAAACACCCAGCCTGCGTGAGATGATGCTTTCCTCTGCTTCTAAGTACCCATCCCCGTGCAGGAAACTGGGAGGTGAGCCTGAACAAGCCCACCCCCTCCCCCCACAGACTAGCGGGGGTGATGGACATGTAAACAGAAGGTAGGACTCTGGAAGAGCCAGACAGGAGGCCACGAGGGCATCCTTGGCGAGGCGATCTGGGGCTAAGAGCACAGGGGTTAAAGCTCAGGTGTCTCAGCTGATGGCGAGGTTACTTCAGGCAAGTTGTTGGGTGGGCTCTTTTATCTGGGCCTCAGTTTCTTTATCTAGATGGGGCTTCCCGTGTGGATATGCAGGAGACGCTGTTTGTAAACTAAAATGAACAGGAACTCGTGCAGTACCTGTCTGCCTTTGCAGAGGTGGAGACACCAGTGGCATCCTTGCTGAAGCTTGGAGAGGGGTTTTTGGTCATCTTTTTTTAAAAAAAGGTTTTTTTCTCTTTTGTGTATTTGTATATTTATTTCTGGTTGTGCTGGGTCTTTGTTGCTCCAAATGGAATTTCTCTAGTTGCAGCGGTCGGGGGCTATTCTTGGTTACGGCGTGTGGGCTTCCCATGGTGGTGGCTTCTCTCACTGCAGAGGATAGGCTCTTGGTGCACAGGCTTCAGTAGTTGCTGCACATGGGCTCAGTCATTGCAGCTTGCAGGCTCAGTAGTTGTGTCTCAAGGGCTTAGTTGCCCCACAGCATGTGGGGTCTTCCAGGACCAGGGATTGAACCGGTGTTCTCCATATTGCAAGGCAGATTCTTAACCACTGGACCACCAGGGAAGCCCCCATCTCTCCTTTGACAGATGAAAAGCATATTTGTAGAGAGCATTGGTGCTCTTGCTGGAACTGGAGGCTTCCAGCCTGGGCCTCCCCTCTTTAAGCTCCAGACCGCGACGTCAGAGAGATGGTTCCTGCTCTCCGTGATTGTCAGCCTTCTGGGGTTGGGTCCAGAGCCAAAGGTGAGACAAGTCTTTACTGTGGTTGGAGCTTCCACAAGAGAAATTCAGAGACCAGCTCTGGCAGGTGGAGCCATGTAGCATCCATAGAACCTGTGAGAATTTTCCAGGGAAGCTGCTGCTGGTGCCTGGAGATGCCTGGCAAAGGCGGATGTGTGCATTTCATTGAGTTTCCAGCCAGCTGCCAGCCGACTCTCCTGTCTGCCCACCTCCAACACCCAGCAACAGAAATGGTTTGCCAGGGGATCCAGCTAGTAGAAAGATACTGGTAGCACACACACATATGTGTAACTATAAAAGGGTTCCACTGGGAAAACAAACAAAGTCTCTAAAAACCTAATGATGTTGAATTTCGATTTAGGTGACTTTCTTAGAAAGTGGAACTAAATGGAACTGGTGGAACTGAGTTGTGGATTTTTTTCCCCCTCTCTAGTCAAGATAATGAAGAGGAGGGAAACTAGCAGGTATTAAGTTTCAGCTTAAATCCGTTCTCACCATGACCCCATGAAATTTGTATTATTCCCATTTTACAGATGAGGAAATGTGTTCAGAGAAGTTCAGTCACTTCTGGGGTGATGTATTTGAGATCTGAGGTCCTGGGTCTGGCTGAATAATGTAACATTGAACTGGCGTATGCGTGATTTCCATTTGTTCTGAGAAGGCAGGGCAAACATTGCCACCCCCATTTAGAGCTGGGGAAACGGAGCCTGGGAAAGATTCAAGTCACCTGCCAAGGTTCTCACAGTCAGCAAGTGACTCCACCAAAACTAGAGCCTGGATCTTCCTTCTTATGGTTCAGGCATCCATTGAACCATTCAGCGGGCACTTAGTGAAGAGCTGAGTAAATGCCATGTGGTTGCCATGCTGGTTCTTATTTAGATGATGAGGCTTCCTGAAGGCCGGCAAGAGCCAAAGAGCTGCGCGGCTCAGCCCTGCCTCCGGTTAATGCAGTTCCCCCAGCTCCCCACCCTTCTGGGTGAGAGAGCAGCCCTGAACTGCATTCCATTCCTGACTCCTTTTTTCTGTTTGTAATTTTTATAGGACTTTAGTTGCTTTATGATATTGAGTTTGTTTCTGGTGTGCAGCCAAGTGAATCAGCCACGTGTACATGTGTGTACCTATATCTCCTCTTTTTTGGATTTCCTTCCCACTTAGGTCACCTCCATCCCTGATTTCTTTTCCCATTTTCCTCTCCACCTCTCTCTTAAGTCTTGCCTTCCTTCACAGTCTCCCTACCCTTCCCTGACCCCCCTGACTAGTAGCCCCGTCCCAGTTCAGCCCCTCTGCTCCATACTCTGCATGGCTCCCTCCTTCTGTGACTTAACCATAGCCCTGCCAGAGGCAGGGGACTGGCCTCTCAACTCCCCCAGCCCTGGAGTCTCGGGGGACCTCAGCACGCCAGCTCCCCAGCCTCCACCTCCCCCCAGCCCTTCCCAGCCTCTCTCCTTGGTCTCCTCAGATTGGCCAGTGGCATGTGGCAGACGGCCTCAGCATGGACAGCCGCCTGTACGCCTCCAACATCTCTGACAGCCTCTTCAACACCACCCTGGTCGTCACCACCATCCTGGTAAGCGGGTGCCCCAGGGCTTCCCAGCTGCTGCTCCCCGGGGTGCCTCCTCCTCCTTGCAGCCTCCCCAGGAACAGAAGATGGGAGCTCTAATCACAGTGCCGAGGCCAATTTATGACAGTGTAATTAAACTCAAGTTGCTGCTTCATATGGAAATGATATCTGATGAGTTCCAAGGCAGCTGGGGAAGCGGGATGGGGTGGCGAGACGGCAGTTTGTGGATGTCTCTAATGGGGGCACCCCAACACCCGGGGCATCTGTGCACGGCCAAGGGCAGGGCACCTTAAGTCACAGGTGGGAGAAGTCCGCCACCGCAGCCCTGCCCTCTCGCAGCAGCCTGCTTGGTGCTTATGTGTACAAGTTGCACCCCTGCCAGTGGACACCTGAACTCGGTGGGATTTTATGGCCTGCGATTTCTTCATTTCCAAATGATCAAAGGAAAGTTCTCAATCTACAGAGAAAGGGACCATCTGCCTTTTTTATTTGATTCAATTCTCTTCGATGATTACCCAGCCCTTCCTGCTGTGTGTCAGGCACTGTGCTCATTCCTGGGGACACGAAGATGAGGAAGACTCAGTCTGTGTCCTCAAAGAGGCTGTAATTTAGTAGATGGCACGAGTCAAGTGCATTCATGGCCAAAGTCGTTTTCTTCTCCCCTCCCCCCACCTCCAAGGACATCATATTTTTAAAGATTTGTCAATTAAACCAACTGCATATTTTAAGTAATAATGAGTTTTCCCCCTTCCTCCACCCCCTTTTAACTAATCAAAAGCCTACTTCCCTGTCTGGCCCAGCATCTTATCAGCAAGAGATAACCAGTGTGGCTGCACTGATGTAATTCCAGCTCCAAACAGACCCAACTATTAGTGAGTCTGTTCAGCCTTATCGTAGCTAACTGTGCAAAGTCTGGAAATGTGTCTGTTAAGAAAAGGACCGTCTTTTGAAAGATTAGGCTTTCAAGATAATGCAAAAGAGTTCAGGGACCTCCATCACTATGTTCATAAACTCCAGGGGCCCAGGAGCCCTGGACTGGAATAACTGATCTACTGTGAGCAGAGCAGGAAAAAAAGCCAGGAAATAAGCTCGTGTCTAGTACTGCAGGGTTCGAAGGAGGGAGAGGTCCCATCCCACTGGGGAGGTCAGCAAAGCCTTCCAAGAAGAGGGACCGTGAGGATGGGCCTCAAAAGACAGTGAGAGATAAGGAGGGAGGAGTGGACAAAGGAGAGCCTTGTTGGGCACTCAGGAAATGCAGGAAAGGGCAGGTTGCTAGGACACGGGCATAGGTAGAGAGGGAAGTCCTGAGGCTGGCAAAGTGGGTTGGGTCCACAATGCTTAGGGACTTGAATGCCAACTAATGGGTCTTCCCTTCACATGGTACGAGACAGGGGTCACTGAATACTTCCATTCCTTCACCGAGTATTTGGGGGCACGCCTGTATGCTGGGCACAGTTCTGGGTGCTTGGGTGTAGACAGAGCCGGGAAAGGGGAGTGGGGTGCTGGCCTCACTGAGAAGGGCAGATCTGAGCAGAGACCTGATGGGGGTGAAGTGACACGTGGCGGTCTGGGAGGAATACTCCAGGCAGAGGGAATAGTCACAGCAAAGGATGGAGAGGCAATTCCAGCTCACAGAGTTTTTGCCAGCCCCCATCTCAGCTCAACCTTAGCTCATCCAAAGCAATGTGAAAACGTCAGCAGGATGAGGGGGTGATGGTGTCACATGGACCCCCTGATCTGGGCATGCCTGGCTGAGCTGGGGCAACACTGAGCCACAGTCCTGGCTGAGGGGGACAGCACACAGCAAGACTGCTGGGACCTTCTCTGCCTCTGAAAGACGTCCTGAGCCTGTGCCCTGCTGCCCATCCTCAAGCATGCCCCAGTCCCCGGTGACCATCTGGGAGAGATCCTTGGCAAATGGTCATCCTGAATCATTTATCCCTTTTTTTTTTTAATATACAAAGATCTTCATTACAGATTGGTTAAAATATACAAAATTTGGAAACAATATCTTTCAGAGTTGAGGACTCTTATTTAGGAGCTGAAACCAGATTTCAGAGAAATATGAACAGATGTGGGGGAAAAGTCATCATCTAAAGTTAACACACAAATGTTAATAACAGTATTTGAGTTACCACTGCATTGAATACCCATTTTTCTACCTTTTCTACTTTTTTTTTCTATTTATTTTTATTAGTCGGAGGCTAATTACTTTACAATAGTGTAGTGGTTTTTGCCATACATTGACATGAATCAGCCATGGATTTACATGTGTTCCCCATACTACTGAACCCCCCTCCCAGCTCCCTCCCCATCCCATCCCTATGGGTCTTCCCAGTGCACCAGCCCCGAGCACTTGTCTCATGCATCCAGCCTGGGCTGGTGATCTGTTTCACCCTTGATAGTATACTTGTTTCAATGCTATTCTCTGAGAACATCCCACCCTCGCCTTCTCATTTATCCCTTAAAACTCAGCACATAGCCCTGTTGTGTCCTGCTCCTGACAGGGTGCAGTTGGGACTTGTGATTTATTGGTTAACACCAGCTAATACACAGAATTGTTGCTGTTGTTGTTTAGTCGCTGAGTCGTATCCAACTCTTTGTGACCCCATGGACTGTGGCCTGCCAGGCTCCTCTGTCCATGGGGATTCTCCAGGCAAGAATACTGGAGCGAGTTGCCATGCCTTCCTCCAGAGGAATACACTGGGTTAGCTGCAGCAAATACCCCACCTTGAGTCAGAACCCGGGTTAAGCTTTTTGCCCACATCACTATCTTCCATTCTCCCAACGCCCCTGCCAGGACAGGGCTCCAGGCCAGCACTCAGCCCCCACACTTTCCAAAATGCCTGTGACTCCTCTCTCTAGCATTGGCTTTGTGTTTATTCACTCTAAATATGCCAGTGTATTTTAAATTAACTTAAGAGGGCTCAGGGAGAAGAATGTTGTGACACTCCTTGGGGTCATTAAAGATACCTTAGGAGGTTGCCTTCCAACCCAGACATGGAAACCCCCCAGCTGTGATCTGGTGGTGAGGCCACTTCAGCACTTTTCACCCACACAGTCCGCGGGGCTGAACACTGGAGCCAGGTGGGGACAGCAGGAGGAGTCAGTCCCAGGTGCACATACATTCTGCCTGGGAGGCAGCAGGTGTAGGGGGATAGAGGGTGTGTGTGTGTGGGACCCTGGCTGGGAGCACAGTAGGAATTCTGAAATGTGGGTGGGCGGCCGAGGAGTCAATGGGACCCCAAGGACAGTGTTGCATTAGGTTAAACAGAAGGACGGAGAAGAGCCCTTGAGCCAAAGACAGCTTGTACGGAAGGCAGGGAGCCTGGCCGCGTCTCACTGACAGGACCGTGCACTTGATCGTGAACCAGAATCACATCACCTTCAACTCAGAGGTCCCTCCCCCTGGCTCGGAACCTCCTACCTTTCCCTCTTCTGCTTCACATCCACAAGACTGCTCTTGCCCTTCCTCCCCTCATGACCTCTGGTCTGCCTGGCTCCCCGTCTTCCCCAGCCCAGAGGTCCCTTCCAGCCTGAGCTCAGCAAACCAGCACTTCAGCACTGCCCTCCCTTGGCTTCTAGAACCGTCTCCACCGTGATGCTCAGCCATCTCACCTCCTGCCCGTCTCCGAGTCCACCTCTCCTTCCAAGTCCTGCTCCCAGCTGCCCCTCTGCGTTCAGCCTCCTGACTCAGCTGGACCTGGGCAACCCCAGGCTCCTCTCTGTCACCCCCATCATATCCCCTGAGCAAACCTCTCCAGAGAAACCAAGCCTTCCCTCCTGCCCCCAGCACGACTCTGGTGCAGTGCTTACGTCTGCCCTCCTTCCTTCCTCTCTGAACCTGCATCTGTGCTGTCTCCACCCTACCCCCAGGCCCACTTCCCGGACTCAAGCTCACCTTGACCCTCACTGTCCTGGGGCCTTACTGACCTGACTTGCACTTCTCTTTCTTCCTTCTCTATCTTGCCTTTTCTAGGGCTTCCTCCCTTTCTACCTACACACATTCTCTGGCCCCTCCCATCCTAAGACCACCTCACCTACACCCTGCTGCCCTTGGACAACCCTCCAGTTTAGGGGGTCATCCATCAGGGGGTCAGTGGGCACCGCTGCTGGTAGAGGGGAACTGAAGTTTGGAGAGAGACGTGCCTGGGAGCGGTTGGGTGGAGAAGGCTCTGCCGGCTGGCCCTTATCTCCTAAACTCCCAAAAAGCCCGGCCCTCCCCTGTGCACCTCTCATTCAGGCCCATCCCTGCAGGCTTCTGCCACCACCTCCCCCCACACCCCCAACCTGCCTTCGAACATCTCCAGTGACACGTGACCCAGTCGCCCTTTCACAGCCCTGCTTCCTCTCTGGGTGGGAATGCCTGCCTTCTTCTGCTTGAAACCCCCACCTCCTTGACTTTCATGACCACGTTTTCCTGATTTTCGGCTTTTCTGGCTGCTTCTGCTTTGTCCTGCTCTGTGGCTGCCCTTCATGCACCCGCGCCCTGCCCCACCTGGATCAGGTCTCATCCCTCTGCTATCCTTCCCCCTCCATGGTCTCCCATATCCTGCAGCTTCAGCCACCACCTCTATCTAGAGGCCGCCCTATCTGTGTCCCCTATCCTGCCCTCACTCCATATTCCTACATTCAGTCACATGTTTGCTCCTGAATCGCCTACCAGCACCTCAAATTCAACATGTTCCCAAACCTCTTCCTTTTCAAACCATCCACGGCCACGGTGACACCATCCTGAGTCTCCTGCTCAGGCTCCAAGGGTCTGAGGATCCTCCCTCTGTGCCCCACACCCATCCTGGCATCTACCTGACCCTCTCTGTGTCCTGTCCAGCTCTGAAACTCACCTGAGCCAAAGCACAGCTCAGGAATCAGCATCTCCTAGCAGGAGAGGGTCTGTCCTCACTCCCAGACCTTCTCTCTCTCTCGCTTTGTCATATTCTTCACTCATGTCCTTGAGTCTTTAAAACTGTGAGTACTTCCCTACTATATATGTGTGATGTACCTCGCCCTGGCATCCAAGGCCCATGCTGACCCTAATTCATCTTTCTAAATTTATCCTCACATCCCACCCCTACCCACAAGCCAGGCTCCCATTCAAGGGCACCTCCATCATCTGCTGAATGGGACAAGCTCCATCTCACTGGGGATTATGTCCTTGATCCTGCCTTTCCCCTGCCCATGCAGCCCTCTGTCCACCACCACTTCCATCTGTCAGTGTTTTGTCGTCCTCCGGAGCCCAGCTTGCATCCCACCTCCTCCATGGAACCTTCCCTGGACATTTCACCTGAGAGACCCAGCCCTTCTCCCAACACCCACAGCTGGACCCATTCTGCCTTGGGTTGCGGTCATACAGTGCATTTAAGAACCTCACCTGTTCTGTCATCAGCATCCTTGCATCTTGTGATGCCCCGAGATCAGTCTGTGTGGAATAAACAAAAGGAAAGGGGGGAAAAGGACGGAATGAAATGGGAGATGGGCTCAGATGATGACCTTAAACAAGGTAGAGGGGCTTCCACTGGACCCTCTGTGCAGTGAGACCCTTGCGTGTTCCTGGGAAGAGAAATGCCTTGAAGTCGGGAAAGGGAAGTAACTGCCACCTCCAAAGTGTCCCGTTACCCAAGCCACTTCCCTCCTCCACCCCGTCTTCTCCCCAACCTCCTGCGCCCCCCAGTCCCTTCATCACATGTGGCTGAGACGCCAGGGCTAAGATGAGAATGACAGCTGCCCAGTTTTGCTGCAGGAAAACCCGTATTTAATGCTGAAGGGGAACCACCAGGAAATGGAAGGCAACGACCGCTACGAGGGCTTCTGTGTGGACATGCTCAAGGAGCTGGCAGAGATCCTCCGGTTCAACTACAAGATCCGTCTGGTTGGGGACGGCGTGTACGGCGTGCCCGAGGCCAATGGCACCTGGACGGGCATGGTCGGGGAGCTGATCGCTCGGGTAAGGAAAGAACAGGTGGTTTGGATCTGGGGGTGGGCTGGGGAGGGTGGTGGAAGGACAGAAGGTTGTGCTGTATGCTTATGAACCCTCTGTTTATTCAGTCAATCAGTCGTGCTCTTTTCATTTATTTGTCCATTCATTGCACGAATCTTCCCTGAGCTGGCACCGAGCCAGGCACTGGTGGTATAGATACATTGGTATTGGTCATCGGTGAAGAAGATCACTATGATCCTTGTCCTGTGGCTCTTCTGGTCCCAGTCTAGAACCTGTAATGGCTAAGGAATAGAGGCTTTGACCAATAAACACGGCTTAGAGATTGGGTTCACTTCTTGGATAATTCAGGAGCCTTTTGTTTTACTTTTTAAAAAATTATTTATTTTTGGCTTCGCTGGGTCTTCATTGCTGCACAAGGGCTTTCCTCTAGTTGCAGCAGACAGGGGCTCCTCTCTAATTGCCACGCACAGGCTCCTCATTGTGGCGCCTTCTCTGGGTGTGGAGCACCAGCTCTCGGATGCACAGGCTCAGCGGTTGTGGCACACAGGCTTAGTTGCCCTGTGGCTTGTGGGATCTAGGGCTTCCCAGGTGGTGCAGGTGAAGATTACACCTGCCAATGCAGGAGAAGTAAGAACCGCAGGTTTGATCCCTGGGTCGGAAAGATCCCCTGGAGGAGTGCGTGGCAACGCACTCCAGTATTCTTGCCTGGAGAATCCCATGGACAGAGGAACCTGGCGGGCTACAGTCCAAAGGATCACAAAGAGTCAGACACAACTGAAGCGACTTAGCACACACACACATGTAGGATCAGTCAGACACAACTGAAGTGACTTAGCACACACACATGTGGGATCTAGTTCCTGGAGCAAGGATCAAACCCGTGTCTTCTGCATTGGCAGGCAGACTCTCAACCACTGGACCACCAGGGGAGTTCCAGTTTAGATGATTTTTTTGATTATCAGTACCGTTGGCAGAGTTTGAACAGGCCCTGAGAGTGTAGAACACAGCTACATCAGCTGACTTTGACACTTGAGAAGGGCTAGCAAAGAGACATAGTTAAATAACAAGGGAAAAGGGACCGACTGTCAGAGGCATTGGTCACAGTTATAGCTATTCTGTTACTTCTTGTATTATTTTCTGCTATCCTTAATGTGCCCTTCCAGACCAGGGCCAAGGTGCACTTGGGAGGGCTGTAAATTTTCAGGGTGAATGTGGAGACTTGATTAAAATGTAGGTGAGCATCCTCAAATGTCAATCATCATTCAGTTAGAGCAAGACTGTAGAAAGTTCTTCCAGGGCCAGAGCGCTTGTTTTCTCGGCACAAACCACTAACATCTGTAAAAATTAAGTTGTTATTAATTCACTGTCTGTATTTCCATAACTGAATGTTTCTCGGCAGGGTAGGTGATTGGCACCCAACACAGAGACCGCAGACCTAGGTTCTTGGAGTGACCTTGAACTGACCTATCTCCGTCTGTGCTTTCCAAGCGCAGGAGGAGCCCCTGCAGCCTCCCAGCCAGTGCCAGCGTGTAGGGGCCTTACATACATCATCTCTAATCCTCTTGGAACGTACCTTTTATTAATAGTTCATCGTTATTCTCATTTTACAAATGTGCCACCTAAACAGAGAGCTTGAATGATTTCTCTGAAGGCACGCCGTCAGGGTGAGATAGGGTTGGGATTTGAACCCAGATACATCTAACTCCAGAATCCCACCATAGCACATGACCTCAGCTGGACTGAGATGTCACCAAGGAAGTTCCGCATAAGCCCAGTCCTTTCCTTTGTGTTGTCCATCCCTTTCACCTTTGCTTCCTTTTTTCTCTCCTTCTTTCCTGTCATCTCTTTATCTGTTAAATTAACATGATTGTAATCTTTTATATAAGGGCTTTCCAGGTGGCTCACTGGTAAAGAATCGCCTGCCAATGCAAGAGACATGGGTTCGATCCCTGGGTTGGGAAGATTCCCTGGAGAAGGAAATGGCACCCCACTCCAGTATTCTTGCCTGGAGAATCCCATGGACAGAGGCGCCCGGCGGGCTACTGTCCATGGGGTCACAGAGTTGGACTTGACTGAGTGACTGAGTACGAATGCCACATTTTATATGTACCAAACTTGGAATAAAAGATACATTTTTTAAATCCCAGTCTCCAAGGATAAAAATGTTAGTTGGGGTATTGAATAAGCAATCCTTGGCAATGCATGATGGAAAGTTCTATATAGTCAAAAGCGTGTAGAAGGTATTTAAGGGCTGAGGTGGGATGGTGGTTAGGAGTTTTCCTGATAGCATTTGCAGTGACTCAGCGGGGCCAGCAGCAAGACTTGTTTAGCGAGACCATGAATTGTCCAGTCCCTAGAGGCCAGGAGGGAAGCCTTGCTGGCAAAGTGAGGCGTGCAGGCAATCATGGAAGACCACAGAAGGCCCAGGGGGCCCTGAGAGCCTCTCACAGGGACAGGCTGGGGGCAAAGACTTCTGCCATCTTTGAGGCTCAAACCCCTAGCCGATGATGCCCACACATCCCCAAAAAAGGGTGGGGGTCCCCAAAGAGGGTTCAGGTTAGCTCCTGAACCCCTCCCAAGGCAGTCTTACTGTTTAGACCCCGGTCGAGGCCCCCTCTAGTGGTTAAACCTCAGAAAGCTGAAGCGCCCATCCTCCTGTCTTACGTACTCAGTGACCTTGAGCCGGTTTCTTCAGCTCCCTTTCGCTGCCTTGTGACTTGTGGGGTGACTTCAGGGATGTCGGAGTCGGTGCACAGCCATCCCCTTATCAGCCCCTTAATGGGCTGTGACGTGGACTGGCAGGAAGAGGAAAGGATCCGGGACTCAAGGACATGCAGCTTCATACTGAATGATTTGGGCAATCAGACTGGGATCTTAAAATTCACCCCAGATCAGCTTTCAAGTCAAAACACTGCTGCTTTGGTCTCATCAAGATGAGGCTGGGTAGTATTAATTAATTAAGGAATTAATCCATTCTTTCAATACATATGCTGGCCCTGATCTTCCCCAGGTTCAGTGGTTGATATGTCTGCCCCGATGTCTCCTAGGATCACAACAGTCCCAAGGCCCGCAGACCCCCTGTGTGACCCCTTCCCCAAGTTGCACAGATGAGAGGTTATAACAGCAAAGCCTTGGGGTTGGCTAGCCAGTATCTTAGACAGAAGAGACCTCAGAGGTCATCTCACCTAAATTTGTCACTTATATACAGATGAGGAAACGCAGACTCAAGGAGGTTAAATAACCCGCCAAAGATCACACAGCTGGTAAGTTTAGAGTCAGCATTTAAACCCTGGTCCAGCTGACTTGGGGCTTCCCTGCTGGATCAGACGGTAAAGAGTCTGCCTGCAGTGCAGGAGACCCGGATTCGATCCCTGGGTCAGGAAGATCTCCTGGAGGAGAGCATGACAACCCGCTTCACTATTCTTGGCTGGAGAATCCCCATGGACAGAGAAGCCTGGCGGGGTACAGTCGCTGGGGTTCCAAAGAGTCCTACACAACTGAGTGAGCTGACTTCAGTGCTCATGGTCTGAGAGTGGGAATCTTGATGTTAAACCTAATGTAGGTTCACTTACTTACTAGCTGTGTGTTCTTGGGAAACATTTTTTATCCTTCTCACCCCATCCTCCAAGGCTTCAGTGTTTATCCAGAAAGAATTTTTGTAAGGATTTAAAATAACACACACATGAGCATGCCCACACCCACAGAAAGTTTGACAGACAGGAATCTCTTTATTTAGATCATTTAAGGAATGCAGTAACCTCCTGGATGCAGAGTGACGCAGCGTAGAGAGTCATCTCCTGGGTCATCTCCACTGGGTGTTCTAGAGCCTCAGTCTTTCATATCCATAGTCACCTGCTTATCTAAGACTGTGGGGCTTGCACTCATGGCGTGTTAGTTATGAAAGAGCATTCAAACATATTTTCTGCTTACTTTTGAAAATCATCGGAGTATGTCTTTCAGTGTAAATCCTGTTAAAAGTAGGAGTGTGGTTGGAGTGAAAACAAGTGGCTTCACATCAACTGGGCAGGTGGCTGGCCTCTCACCCCCCAGGGCCATATCTGGGTAGGGGAGATGTGCAGGGTGTCTGTTTGGGAGCCTCTTGGGTCTGGATTCATTTTGCCCCCAGTCAAACCCTTCACAAGCTGAGCCCACAGCTGTGATGGTGTGTTTTGGTGGAGGTGCACTTGGCAGAGAGGAGGAGATAGACTAAAGCTTGAAGAAGAAGATGCCCTTGGAACAGTCTCAACATCCTCCTGTGTCACCCCAGTATATTTATTTAAAGTGACTCTTTCATTGAGATTGTTGGAGGTATTCCGATACAGAGCTGAATGAGACAGACACTGGGTCACTCTTTGATGGAGGAGCAGTTGGGTAAAAGCAGAGTGAGAAAGGCTGGGATGGGGAGGTAGAGGGGCTGGTGAGAGGACTGGAGGAGGGCCTCCTGACTCTGCTTTTGATGTGTAGGGAAGATGTCGGTTAACTTGAATCTTTAAGGACCAGGAGGAGTTAGCCAGGGAGAGCAGGGATGTGGAGAGAGAAGATCAAGCTGAGAGGAAGGGAACCAGGCAGAGTCCACGGCCTGGAGACAGGAAGGGGCATGGTGGTTTCCGTTTTAGGATGCTATAGCTGGAACAGAGCGTGGTGGGAAGTGAGCCTAGGGAGTGGGTGGTGGCCTATACAGCCTTCTACAGTGTGGAACATAGATGGGTGAGGGATGGGAAAGTCATGGAGGCAGAGGAACCAGGGAGAAGATTGAATTGTTGCAAGAGGTGATGAGAACCAAAAGTAACTTAGGAGTCAGAAGAAGCCTTCAAAAGCTGTCTTTAAAGGTAACAGTTTTTCTGTAATATAGAATGACTCAGTGGTGAAGAATCCTCCTGCCAATGCAGGAGACAGGAGTTCCATCCCTCACTTGGGAAGATCCCCTGGAAAAGGAAATGGCAATCCACTGCAGTATTCTTTCCTGGAGAATCCCATGGACAGTGGAACCTGGAGAGCTACAATCC